AAGCGGTTATTGTTCGGTTGCTGTCCGTGAAACTTCATCTTTGTGATTCTTTCCCATTCCGTCTGCGCCATGTACAATGGCGGCGGATCCTTGAAAAGGAGCGCCGAAGTTCCGCGCGTCAAATGAAGTTGTTACAAGACAGAAGCGAGTGCTCTTTCAGAGTTTCAATGATCCCTAACGTTTCGTGTCCTTTGTTTGAGCTGTTCTCGCGAGTGTCAGAAGTTCGGAGAATTTAGCGGAACTACTCCCGAAGGAATCGCGACCTGTCCTCCTTTAATGCTCTTCTAAACTGCATTTCGAGGTGACGTAAACTTCGTAAGGGTAACTGAGCTGCAGGACTTAATGAATATTACTGAAGCTTCTATTAATTGTACCGATGTAAGTAATTCACTATTTCTACTTGAATTCAGAATACAGAGGAATTTACATGTGGGGTAACGATATACTTTAATGTCCAGAAGTATCCGGACATTTCGAATAAATAGCAAAAGTATTCATACATAGGAATAAACCGACACCGTCAAGGTATCGATTCTTTCATTCATAACCTGTATCGAAAAAAACTATCGATATCTACTTAGTATCGCATCAAAAGTATCGTTACCTACTTGTATCGAAGGAAAATGAATACAAAGTTCTTTTTTATTAATATAACATATTGTAACCAGAGTTGAGCAGAATTTTATTCGAATAATATATAGTGAAAAGCTGCAGTGTCTAAGGGCGTCATCCTGACCTTTAAACAATTAATAAGATTAAATAATTGTTTGCCAAATGATGACTCATTTAAGAAGACGTATTACCTTGTTATAAAAATTGGATTTTCCACGTTTAAATGATTAAAAATGACGATGTACTTTTTCATTCATTTTATTCGTTATTCAAAACTCTTTATCGAGAAAATGAATTTGCCCATCTCTGATTTTATCGAAGATATATTTTATTAATGAACATTTATTAACAAAGACATACTTTATTAAAAAAAGTAATATAACTGGACGTCAACTACCTTCACATTCATTAGTTTTCATATCGATTAGTCGCTTCATTCGATATGAGCACTTTTTTTCGACACCGAGTATATATCGCAACCGAAAGTATCGATACTGAAAATGCTCTGTGTCGAAACCAAAGTATCGATTATTTACTTGTATTTACTTGGATCGGTTCATCCTTATTCTTACACCCTTATAAATCATAAATAAATGTTAATAAAAGCCGTTTTTATTCACCAACATGCACATTTCATAAATTATTTATGAAACTACATCCATTCTGAATTTATCTGTTACAAATATCCAAATGACATGGTCTACTAATTTATTCTCGTGAAACATGTCAATAACGCAACGCAAAAGTATTTATACAATGCATGTGTTCGGGGCAACATTTACCTACCCTATTACCAGGGATATATTCAGAATAGATGTTTTGTAAATAGTTAACCAAATCTGTGTGTGGGTGCATAGAAACAGCGTTTATTAACACTTATTTATGACTTATATAGGTGTATGAATACTTTTGCTGCCTACTGTATAGAACGATGCAAATCTGTGAAATGTTAATTATAAATTGTAAATATTTTTCGCACGAAATGTCTTTATTGATTTTTATAAGTTTATCTGGTAACAAGTGAATATATTATTTATATTGTTATAGGAGCACGTAAGTGATATTTATTACCAAGTAATATCGATAAAAGTACTATGATCAAAGTTAAATGAAAAGGTATACATAGAATATGTACAGAAGGAACAAGTTATAGCTGCCTTTTTCTAACTTCTGCTGTACCTACATGCATTTAAACTAAAACATATGAGCATTTGATTAGAATTAGTTTAAGGTTAACAGTAAAAGTTAATAGTAAGAGGTTGCGAACTTGAATGCTAAAGAAAAATTAATGATACCTGGTACTATACCTGGTACTATTAAAAAATTAGCCACGGAGAGCTATTCAATGCGGTAAATAGCAGCAGAAATGATAGTTATATTTATTGAAAATTTGTAACATTCTAATATCGATAGTGTACTGTGTCTAGACACCTATGGATGGTAGTATTGTTTGTATCTTATTGTTTTATTAATTCAGACACGGTTGACAAGTAACAGAAACGAAACAAAATGGATACGCTTTCGTTTACAAGTAGACTGCTTTTGTTTATGCACTTACAGCATGTCTTAACTTAACGTACAAAATGCAGTAACATAAAGTCTCTAACCTCTAAAGGGTGTCTATGTGTACATGTTAATATAAACATAATAAAACATCCAGCGCAGGCAATAAATTTCTGTCCAATTTTCAGTTAGAAATTAGTGTATAAACAAATTTTTTAATTGTCATTCGGATTTTTTAATGAACGATCATGAATTTGCATGTTTCATGCCCTTATTATAAAAAACTACTGTTTCCTTAAGAACATAACACATTATTTAATAAAGTGAAGTATATAAGAGATGAAAGATATTCTTGCTCCTACATTTAGTTAACAGAAAACACAGTTTTGGTGTACAATAGAAACAAACATCTAAATCCGAACGAATACAGGGAATAATTTACCTAATCATTTTTCAAATATGACAATGAAATTTTGCCAAAACCGCAGGTCAGATTTGAATAGGCTTTGAGAAGAACCTGTCGAATGCAATTACACCTATTTCGATGATTAAAGCACTTTACTTTCAAAACGTTCGAGCAAACCTGATCTATTTATCGTCTATACGATTAACGAGGTTCCATAAATCTGGCTGATAACGAAATTACTTGGATGATCCGTGCGACCGAACTTTAATCGCTGAATTTTCCATTGGATAGGGAGCAAATATGTCGGCGGTGATACGCATACGTGAAATTCTTGTTTCAATGAAATTACGCGTTGACATCGTTACACAAGGGATCATAAATCGTGTATAGAGTCGGAGCTTGAAAGGGCAGAGCGATACGAATGCGAGCTTCTCTCTGTTTTAATCACAAACACGAGTTTGAATTCTATTGGACGTAACGAAGGCATTCAGCGATCCATGCGAACGTACTAATTAAATTCGTGATTACGTAAACCAAGTAATTATCGGCAGTACACCGTGGTGTTAAAACACTTGTGGACAAGCGAGTCAACGTTATTTTACATCGTTCACACATGACGCGTGTAGGAACTGGCGACTACAGATTTTTTAACGTCACGTCGTTAACGCGTTTCGCGAAAACACGATTGCCAGGGGTGCGACGCAACAATCAAATGCACTATAAAATCTGTGTTCGTGATGTTATCCTGTGTAAATTATTATTTCGTTAGTGGATATCGTTGTATTAATTTCATAATTTTAATAGCTTTTTTTAACCGAAGAAAGAGAGAATAGATTGCTCCATGTTTAACCTTTTAAGGCCTGAATTAGGCCTGTCTCTGTGATGTTATTCTGTATATAAGTCACTATTTTATTAGTGGTTATTGCTGTGTTAATTTTATAATTTGACTACTACTTTTATTAAAGAAGAAGAGAATACACTGATTGCGTATTTTCTCAATTCTTAGTTTCTAACTATTCCATATGTAATCTGGTACCCCATAATTATAAAAACATAATTTATTTATCTTTCATTTAGTGCGAACTGAAATGCAAAGTAGTGAGCCCTGTGTGTATGAAGTATATATTGAAAAGATTTGCAACTTATACTAACAGTAGAATTAATTTTACTAGTTAAGTGTAACAAAACGAAACTATTAACTGTACATTACATCTCCTTTTAACACAAAATTAAGAATTCTAAATATTACTTATACATTAATTTCGTTATTTTATTTTAAGTTTGAAGCAAAAGTTTCCTTTTAGTATTCAATACTAATATCCTTATTGCACGGATGTAATACAAATACACTGAAGAAATTATTGATTTTCTGCATTTATAATATTTGTGAATATTCAGAACACAGTAAAGTAATCAATTCGATTCAAGTTTAAGATGACTTTTGCTTTTAAGATGGTGTATTTTTCGTCATACCGAAACCCTTGATAATAAAAATAAATTTTTATTTAATCCTAATTTCATAAAGTAGTGCAAATTATGTCAATTTTCGTTGACATTCGAAACTTAGTAATAGAAAGTAAAAACATGAGCACCAACTGATGAAATAGAAGCAAAAATTATTGTAAACTTGGTGTCGGGTCACACCAACAATACCTGTTATTAAGTGTGACCTCCGTACACCCGAGTTTCCTCGAGTCGTCCACTTTATGTTCTTAAGCCCTTTATGAGCAAAAAGTCCAGTAGATTTAAATTAGTTTATTAGCCATGAAGCAGATGTTCGAAAGTAACAGTACCATCCCAATACCGACGTCACCCTACCTGGAACTTGGAAAAACCCGGACACGTAGGCTTCTTACCTTCGCTCTTTCCACGCGACACCTTTCGCACACCCATCGATTTCCACCCCCTACTCTGGCAACCAATTGAGGCCCACGAATTTTTCGCCTCCAAGTTTTCCATATTTGCCTACAGTGCGTCCCTCCTTTTTTCGTTCGTCAAGACTAGATATTTTTCTGACAGAATAAGCAAAACCGTCGTATCGAGCGGACAAGGTCAAAACATAGATCACTCCCCGTTACTTATAATACCTGTAGTCAAAATTCTAAAATATATTAGATTGTTGTACAATTTGGGTAATTTGATTTGGAGAGAAATACCGATCCTTCATTTATCCCAACCTCGCGCTAAACCAAACGTGAGGAATAAACACTTGGACTAGCTCGTATATACATTATAATTTTATATCTTTTCACAACATTTACGATTGTTAATTTACTGCTCTTATTTGTCCCTCGAACTAAGACACTAGAACTGAACATATCTTCTATAACAAAGCCAATGAAATTCGAATGAAAGAAAAATACTCAGATCTAAGAAATAATAAATAAATAATGCATGTGGCTGAAAGCGAAATTTCTCCTCACCTGTTGCTAATGTGTGAACAGTAATTAAGTATTTAAAATAAAACTACGCCACTAACCTTTGAAACAAATTTTGTTTCTCTTGAAAACCAGAATGGTGTCGTTGTATCTAGTGCCAGCGGGAGCAGTGACATTTAACCTCAGAGCCAGCGGAATTTCGGCACTAACCAGCCCCGAGCACGGTAACCGAATCCTGAAGACCTGCAAGGTGACTGGCACCTCTCCTCGTGCTGAGACATTTACCCTGGGCTGAAGCAGAGCCATCGTACCGGAAGCGCTGCCAGGGACACCTACTACGTCATAATCCAGCTCCATGGAGTACGCCAGCTGTAAATAAACAGAAACGAAAAAATTGACCTTTAGAAATATTAGGACATCTGGATGACCAGATTTATGATGCGGACGCTCGATACCCGCTATTTATGAGAGAATACAATAGCCCATTATTTTCAGTTAATTTAAATCCTTATGTTGGCAACCGGTTCTCAGGTGCCCAATTCTATATATCTATTCCCAATGACAATAAATCTCCATTCTTTAGATATTTTTACGTCGAGTTACGTTCTGAAAATGAAACTCTGTGAAAAGAATTTTAAATATTAAAGCTTTAAACAAGCCTGAAAGTGCATGCATATTATTCGTTTTCTACAAGTTGAAAAGAAATATTGGCTTGCTGATATTAACGTTTAATATTTAGAGTAAAGGTATATTTGCCGCAAGAACAGAATTTCTTTTGTATCTGAGAAATTATTAACAATAAAGTAATTTTGAAAAGTGGAGTTGTCATAAAAAATTGTAAGGCAAGAGGTTAAACTACGTTTGTGTAGGGGCACGCACACACACACCACTACAATAAATCATCGATGACTTGTTCGAATACTCCTCAGCACTGACAAGGAGAAGTCCCTAGATGTAACGCTGACTTTTTAATGAAGTTTAGCACAGTCATAAAGCTTGGGATTCTGAAGCCAATGGTATTTGTTCTAGCCACATAAGGCCATTATTTTATGAAATATTTAATATTTAGTGCCTAGGAACTGTTTAACACTCATCGATGTTTTACTGTATACAGTGCCTTAGCTAGATGGTTAGGCGCTGATTAGTATTAGATCTATACTCATAAATTTACACAATTCAATCATTGCTAAAACTTAATCAACTTATGTCTTAAAAACTATTTTTAAATTGTCAATTAAACTAAAATTTGTCTGCAGCATATGACTCCTTTTAAACTTTTTTTCTTCCTCGTGAATAGACCACGTTAAAATAAAATAAAAATTTAACATTAATTTGTAATATAGAGAATTTCACGGAAAGTTTTATTAACAAATGGTCACTGATCCAGGGGTGTAAATTCATCTGCTGAAAGCCATAACGATTAACTTTTTTACACTCTGTATGTACAAGTTCTGGCGAGCACGTGCGTTTCTAGTTTCCTAACTCTCTTACTCAATAGCGACAGACTTATCGTAAACCAGGCGTCTTGGCGTGGTCATTAACGGGTCCACCGTGTTGTCCCTTCAGTAAGAAGGGTGATCGTTCGCGGAAAGTTGTATTTAGTCGGTACACCACGTGAAAGTACCCATTAAAACCCGAACGATCGTCAGATCGTAACAAGGAATGCATTAGATCCTGTCGAGCAATTTCACTCACTTTGAAGTTTCAATTATTAAGATATCAATCAGATTCCTCTGAATTATTGGATTGGTAACTAATTTTGCGACCTACACATTCATTTCAGAAGAATATTTTGTTAAAATTTAACAACAACCATAGCATAAACACGGAACTTTATTCGTCTCAGCTTGACCGTGTTCAGAAAAAATTACGCAAGAATCTGCTACGCCAGTTCCTACAGAAAGGGATTATAGTAATTTCTCGATGAATGCTACACGAGCAACAGCGTTATTTGCACCACTGGGAGAGTCCCTCTCTGGAACCAATCAAAACAGAGTAGACAGAAGCTAAGCAGAGGCTCGGTTTGGGACAAAAAACAAATGAGGGGCTGAAAACCTTTCCGCCTTGGCATGAATACTCCGAAGCGGACCTGAGTAGGTCGTACTTATGGAGACATTACACTATCTTGCAACAGGACAATGTTTGTCCACACATTTCACCCAGAACACTTGGAAAAATTGAAAAGTTGGTTTAGAAACGGCTAATTCATCCACCGTGTAATCCAGATGCTGCTCCCAATGATTACCAGTTGTTACAACCGCTGCAACATTCGCTAACCGGAAAACGCTTTTCTAAAGTGTATGTCACAACACACTTTTCCACGTGTTTTGCTGCAAAGTCACCCTAGTTCTATCGCAGAGGGATGGAAAAATGATCAGAGACATGGAAAAAAATTATCGATTCGAATGGTGCTTACTTTGAGTGAGAATTGTTGTTTGATGAATTTTAATAAATATTATTTTGGAAGGAATATAAAGGTCGCAAATTTAGTTGCCAACCTTTTTATTAATTCTCGGTGATGAAGGTATGTTTCAGATAAAAATGACCGTGAAAAGGATAGACAGATTTCCAGAGGCTGAAGAGTTCGCAAAAGTAAAAAATTCATACAGGAAGTATATTCCGAGTTTCTCTTGTTCGGATTCAGCACGGTATTCACGTGAAGCGGACGATAACGGACATGCAATAAAAATACTTTGGAAATCATAACCCTCGAGGCATACCGTCACGGAAACTTAAATGTCACCCCCCTTCGAGCAGAATATGATTCCAGACATGCGAGATTTTACATTGAATCTCGCGAGTCTTTCTTAAATAGAATCAATGTCTCTAGATGTACATAGTGTCTTATTTGTAAAAATTTTGACACTTTTATCGGACCAACTAAATGCACGGACAGTAAAGTTTTAATAAGTATATGTGTAATGTTATTATTAAGGATTACATGCATTTATAGTATACTAGATTGTTTAAAATCCAGCATTGCTAGTAGGAAATTATGAAGTTAATTAAATTTTTACTTTGTGTGTATAATAGAACGTTAATAAGGTAAACAAATTTTTGTGATTTCTGTATCTGCAAATTAATTCACAAAAATCTATGTTTCCGTAAATATATTTATGCATTTGTATTGCATACTCTAGGAAGTGAAACAACGTTGACTGAATATTATAAAATTGGAATAAAATGAAACAATATAAAAAAATTAATATAATCCTGACCAATTTTATCATTCGTTAAAGAATACATAAATATTGCTTATTATAATGTATTGGTTTGACGTTGTAGTATAATTTATTCCGAAATAAATTTTTCAAACATTTAACTGCACTAATTCATACAGCTACTAGATATATGTATGTATATGGTTGGTCATTCACATTTCATAGTTATACTTGTTAAACGTTGCCTACAGAATGGATGTCAATAAACAATAAAAATGTGAATAGAAAATATAATACAAGCAGATATCATTCACACGTAAATGTATGCAAAATCAGTATAAATTTTAAAAGTATTCGCGGTACAAAATAGTAATTAATAATGAAAAGTGTGGAAAATAACTTTCCAATCATTATAATTCATTAGTTACAATAGACCTGGAGATAAGTAAGTTTTTTTAGTTCAAACATGTAATACCAAGTGCTCTAATTTTGTTTATATTTTAAAATCTATTCGTTTATTCCCTAAAAGGCTTAAAAGTTTAATGTTTGAATTATGAATAAAAAGTCATATTTATATGTCATAAATAATCTTTTATCAGTTTTCACTCAACAATAGCTATCTCCGTTGCACGCTCACATTAGTCAAACCGAGGTTCACGTGCGTAACAAAAATATCTCGAAACGAACCCGTGCATTAAAGCGACGAGGAACCCCTTTTAGGATGCATATAATTACATGCATGCAATCTTTCACACTGATACCCGTCCGTAGTTTACTGCAATCTGTCGCGTGTTTATTATTTAACATTTAATGTTTGAGTGCTACAACACTATTATGTATGTATATCGTAATTATTCATTTATATTGTTCGTAAAGTTTAAATTCTAGAAACACGGTTCGAATTTTTATTGTTTTAGTAAGTATTGTAAATTTACACAACATGGATTTCCGTAACAAATTTTAAGTTTTAACTTATACAAATTCAATTATACCGACTTTTTAACGAATTTGCATTTGTATTATAAAATTTATTTGATGATGGTATCATATGAAAGAGCACGCGAAGTACTTATTATTATGTAGTTGTCATTTGATATAGTTTAATGTAATAGGAATGTAAAAGAACTCTATGTTACTGTCTTCAGAAGAAAAATATTCTTTCAGTTTTCTATACTAACATTTCATTATTTATCAGATGGTATTACGTATCAGAATTTTATAGATATCGCATCAGTATACAGAGTATATTTCTATTGGTAAATGAAGATTATATTTTTGGAATTTACACAGTCAATTCAAAAAGTTAAGATAGTGACAATCAGACCTTAAGAAAGTAACTGAGTAAGGGGTAAGAATTCTAATTACACTATTAGCACATGATTTAAAAAATCTTACAGTGAAAGCTCTTAGACGATACAAATTATAATCAATGTATGTATTCACTTTTTGGAGAATTCATATCAATACCTTAATAGCAATATTATTTACCCTGCAAAACAGACGTCAAGCCTATTAAGTGTACCAATAGATGATTCACTATAGTTATAGTAAGGGTGTAGTACAAATTAAATTCAGAACACATTTCCGATTTCTTGTTCAATTAAAATGACATAGAATATTAGCGGCAAATAACATATATTATTAAAGTAGCATAAATGGTTGAGTTATTTCCGAAAAAATATAGAATTTTATAAGAAATAGTGGATTATTTATTGGTACATCGGATATAATGAACACTATATACAAACCCAAAACTTACTTCCGAATATAAGCTATACATGAGGCGTTGCAAATAGTAATGGTGACCTTAACATTTTGTAAAAAATGTTTTATTTTACCAACCTGATCTATGGCAGCCAACACATGTATCCATGGTTAGATTTGACATCTCCATTCTTTCGAGTATAAAATAAGTTTTTTTTTTGAGTTTTCACAGTATAGGGGGTAATGGCGAACGCCACAATTCACACTCTGCCATACTGCCCGGTCCATTTGATCGTCACTCTAGTATTATAATTAACAGTTAATAATTATGAATACCCAACAATTATCTAATAAGTACATTTATTACTTCTAATATTTAAAAAAATGCAAAAAAGAAGTTAATGAAATACAAGAACCTTTTGTTGAGTTCACCCTTATGGAAACGTTTCAAATGCCTTTCTTTCAGAACATGCTTTCGTTGAGTTCACCCTTACTACTTGCAAC